TAAGTACAAAATATTATCATTAAATTATCAAGGCAGATAAGAGAATCGGTGTCGCTGTATATAAGTGGCTGCTTCGAACAAAAGAAGATATGTAGTTGCGACGCTGTCAACAGACGACACAGCTACATGTAGATATGACCTGCCAATAAATGGTAGTCACTCTAATGAGTTTGACCCAGATAATCAGGAGGGGTGCACGTATCCAGGGAGCAATTATAACGCAGAGGCCATCATCAGCACTGGGGCGATGAGATAATATCACATGACCCCTACTCAAAAGCAGTCAATGACAAATTATGTATAAGGATACATTGTTGTGTATATCTATCATAATACATAGTACAGTAAGGCAGCCAGAATCAGGTATACAATTAGACAGAGTCACAAAGAGCTCTCCAATAATGGCAATTTCTGCTGTGCCGACCAATACCGACAGTTAAGGATGGGCAAATTTGTCACTGGTGTGTGTAACTGATCAGACCCTGTATTATTGCCGAATGGTATAAATACTAGCGAAGGAAAGGCGGAGAGCAACGTATAGATGTGCGTGTGAGAGGGCAAGGTCCTTAGCAAGTTTATCATTTTGTTAGCAAGTGATGAACCAAGTTCGTCAACTACTCTGCTAATTATCGGCCCCCCAATACAGTGTTGGCCAAGCCAGGGCAATTGTTTTTTGCTGGTATTTCTGTGAAGTGCGCTATATCTATAACACTTCTATTTGCAGATACGATTTGGAGAGGATGTTGAAGGTCCGCAGCTATAACTCACTCATGCTTTACGACTCGAATAAGTTTAGGCACATAAGAGATAAGGATAAAGAGGAACGTATTGTACTGTTTTTTAAGAAAGGATTTTTAGTGAAATAAAAATATTGTGTGAGAAGACCTTTGCAATTCTTATTTAACTATTTTGTTGGTTTTTGTATCCAAATGAGAGTAGGTATTTTTATATTTCTCTGACTGATAAATTAAAATCACTGATGAAGCAAATGCTGGCGCTTCAAATTGTAAATTTTTCTCCAAAATAGTTTATATCTTTCGCAGAAAAAGTTATATAGATAGTGTAAAGCTTGTCTTTCCAATAAGCATGTAATTTAGAACAAGATGTGTCTTTACCTTCGTTGGTAGACATATCCGGTTTCCTAACAAAAGTCAGGTCAAGATCGAGAAGTAGTGACTACGGTTCTTATCCTCAACTAAATCCTTTATTCTGGAGCGTCCAAACTATCAAAGTACATCCAGTCATACAAAAGTTACAATCGATTACTGTGAAACATGCTGCGCACCGTAAGTCTCATCCTTCTCCTACTAACTTGTTGGACTAGTACCGGAATCCGAACAGTCCTCGCATCGGTCGGTCGAAAAGCGCGTCTCTGATTGGCGCATGAATAACGCCGACGGACTTTGCAGTTATCTAGGTTTATTTTCCGGCTCTGCTTCCTTGATAAATTACCCATTACGATGGAACTACCGCTTGCTTGAATGTCTCTGAATTAGTTTTAGTGTGGAAACGGGGATGCTTTGGCGTCCGTCGCGTAAGGATTTGAATGTACACAAAGGATATGTATATTAGTATTGCGCGCAGGTGGCAATATTTCCAACTTTTGGTGTGTGTGCATTATTACGAAAAGCAGTCCATCTCTCTTTTTTATTTGGCCAATAATCAGGGCTACAGACGTTAGACCAGAGGTATGTTTCCACTTAAAGAAGTTGCAGACATATAAATAGTGCTTCTCTTTAATGCCCCATCCCCTTTAATTTTTTGAACGGATCTATTCAAAAAGTTAAAACTTGAGGCAATGAAATTGATGCGTGGATACCATACTCTAGATTGAAATTGACAGATGAAAATGTCAAGATGGCCGCTGGGCGCCATCTTGGGAAAAAATTATATGAGAACGGGGGTCCTGTGTCACATCACTTTGAAGCGCCTGACGAGTACTTTATAACCCTAGAATATAAAGTCAATACCTTTGCCTACTACGAAATGGTAGTACATTTAATAATTACTTGAACACAAACCCACTAACATGCATATCTCTACAAATAGTTGCAATCCCCTGCCGTATTCACAGCAATAGCGATAAAAACTTGTTTTGTTATTTTTTGCTGACAGTGACAAGAATATCAGTAGGAAAACACATCATTTTACAGTTAAAATATTCTTATCCAGTTTTCGGTTTCAGTGCTAGATACTGTTTGAACTATTTTTAAAATGGTTAATTCTCGTCCATTGGATGAAAAAATCGAAGCGATTTTTATTTATGGTGCGACGCGAAATTCTGACGAGACCGAAAGGATTTTTAATGATCGTTTCCCGAATCGTCCTATCTCTAGAAAATATTTAAGGGCACTTCTGTCTAAATTTACAGCTACTGTTAATGTAAATAACAAAAAGCCCCCAGGTCATTTATTTATTTAAATCCACCACCAACAGTGTTAACCAATTACTGGTGGAAAAACAACAATAGAAATAACATAGTAAAAAAACATATAAAAATACAACGAAAACTAAAAACTAAATCATTTCACTGTAAACTCTCATAATATTTGAAATACTTGTATTGAACAAATCAAATGTACTCTGTAGACTATTATAACATGAACACATCGAGTACAAAGGTGAGTGCAACAGTAAGTTAGTTCGTGGGATAGGTAGGTAAAAAGAGTGTATTGCGAGTAACAAATTTTGGAGCATTAAATTTAATCTGTGCTAGAAATGATGGACAATCGTAGCTGCTATGCACTACTTTATGTACCATCCAGGAAGAAAAGCAAGTTCAAATAATTGGTGAGATCATACTAAATCCCCAACAGTTTACTTCGTCCTTTGCGAATGTATGTGAGGTTTTGCCTTCTACTGTATGGAGACTTTTGAAAAAGAATAAGTATCACCAATACAAAATTCGAATGGTACATCAGCTAGCTGAAGATGACCCTGATCGAAGAATAGAATTCTGCGAGAGTATGACGGAAACCATTTCACGGCATCCTACCTATATCAAAAATATTTGTTTTAGTGATGAATGTACATTTTTTCTCAACGGTAATGTGCATAGACAAAATTGTCGTTATTGGAGTGACACCAATCCTCACGTCTTCCTGGAAACTTATCCTCAATATCCACAGAAAATTGACGTTTGGACTGGGATATTGGGAAATCATATTGTGGGCCTCTATTCGTCGAACAAATTTAACCGGGGAACTGTATTCGGATACGCTGGAAGATAGTATTGACCCTCTAATCACCGAAATCGTCGAAGCGAGTCCTAACGAATTCGATACTGATATTGTATTCCAGCAAGATGGTGCTCCACCACACCACTACAGACAAGTTAGGAATTATTTAGATAACAATTTCCCCGGTCGTTGGATTGGCTGTCGAGGTCCTGTGGAATGGCTAGCTCGCTCGCCAGATTTGACACGTTTAGACTTTTTTTTAGGGGGCTATTCGAAGCGAAAGGTGTATGAAAGTGAACCTGCTTCAATATTGGATATAAGGCTGAGAATAATAGATATTTGTAGAAATATCGATGTAACTATGTTTGAAAATGTTCGAAGCGAAATTACGGACCGGCTGTTATTGTGTCAAGAAGTTCAAGGCAACCATTTCCAGCATCTTCTAAATTGAACTCAACGTATTTATTCGAATTATCAATTTAAACGTCAATGTATCCAGGTAATTATTAAATGTACCACCATTTTGTAGTAGGTGAAGGTATTGACTTTATATTCTAGGGTTATAAAGTACTGATCAGGAGCGTCAAAATGGTGTGCCACAGCACCCCCGTTTTCATCTATTTTTTTCAACATGGCGCCCAGCGGCCATCTTGATCTTTTCGTTTGTCAATTTTACTCTAAAATATGGTATCCACGCATCAATTTCATTAGCTCAAGTTTTAATTTTTTGAATTGATTCGTTCAAAAAATTAAAGAAAAGCACTGTATAATGTGCTAGGTGCGTGTGCCGTCTGGCGCATGTTCGGCGATATGCGCACAGCACATGTATTTCGATATCTACAACATTCTGCTAGTACAAATATGCTCCACATATGAGCGTAAAATGAGAACGGTCTGCAGCATATTACGGTACATGCCGCGGTGCATGTTGCGCGTTGTAGTCTGTATTATGCATTCTGTATTCTCTACATGAGGAATGGCAATCAACCAAGATCACAGCACTTAGGCCCCGTCAGGCCTTTTGTACGTCCAGGCCCCTATGGCATTTTATTAGTAAAACGTCTCTCACTGATACCAACCCTCCATACCCTACACAACCCCAATCCCCAGATTTCAACCAATATTAAACAGAGTAAAATAAGCAGGGGTCTCTCAAACGTTAAAAACAATGTATCTTACCGTGTACTGCTGATAGCTCCGTTGCTGCTGGGTCTATTTTCTTAATATATAATGGTTATTATAGTAACTTTGGGTCAAAATTTCATCAAAATCCGAGCGGTACTTTCCAAGTTATAAAGTGACCTATGATTAGGGGACTGACAGATGGATAGACCGACATACAGACCGATGGGGATGAGTGACATAATCTTTCATGATGTATAGGTCATGTGCTAATAATAATAAATTACTTAATTTGCAACAAAACAGTGGTATATTCTGAGGGCCGAAATTTGGCAAACGCTAACACTCATCACATCATCATAGACACAATTTTGAAATAAGGTTATCCTGTCGTTTTGGGTTCACGCCATAGCTTTTAATATTACAAAGGCTTTCACTTAGTTATTGCATACTTCTGTTATGTTATATGATAAATCTTATCCATAAATTGGAAGATGATAGTAATCTACATACAGGTATGCAAAATGCAAAGTAAAATTTTGTGCATTCGAAGGCTGGTACCAAGTCGCCCTCTGACGAAAGACCTGAACTTAAGTGCAGTAGCTTCATCCAGCTTAATGCGTCTGAAAAAGTAATATACCATAACTAGTACGGCTGACAGGAAAAAATAAGACAAAAATGAATGTAATTGGAAAAACACCATGATAAATTTATTTTAAATTGCGATCCACCTTAAGGAATACCCAGAAGAAGCCACTAGATTTTGCATAATAAGCAGTTCCCTTTACCTTATACCAGCGTCAGGCTCATACAATGCAGCTCTGAAATAAAATGTGGAGCACAAGAGCTCCCCGCTTTGTTTATCTTCGGAAACTTTACTGGGGCATATTAAAGTCATACACCAAGTTCTCGATGCAATGAACGAGCACCTCATTGTCGGAGCGTAATTTCATGTTCTCCAACTTTATGTTATCAACTTTATGTGACAAATCTCTCAAAGTGCTTTGCAGTTCGACAATTTGCGAGACAAGCATTTCTCTTTCCTTGCGCTCGTCCCAGCAGCCTCGCTTATCAATTTGACTGTCATGATCAAAGCGGCTAGCTGGTTTGAGTAATATGTCATTATTCAATTTGTTGTGCTTCCTTTCGTTTACAACGACGACAGTTTCTCTTTCGGTTCCTTTACCACCTAAAAGAAACACACGTACCTAATGAGAATGATAATTTTAACATGCCTAAAGCATAAAATCGCTGGATTGTCTGTGAAGTGTGAAGACAGAAGTCTTGCGTAAAACTTCTTCGTATTGTAGTAACTAAGGTCCTCAGTTTCAATAACAATTTTTCATGGCGTTTTTTTATGTTAAGTTCTCGAAAGCCCATGTCACTTCCTTCTGTAGCTGGGTTTGTTTGTATGTGTGTTAGCGATTTTGATACGGTATGATTTCAAATCTGTCATAACAATTTGCTTCTTTCCTCAAAATTTTCGGAAGGAGTGAGACAATTGACAAAGGAATGAGAGCAGTGTTAGGATATTTGAGCTTTCGGGAAATCTAAGTACTACGTGGGTTGGGCGAGATCTTTATTTCAAACCTAGACAGATTTAGTCTAATCATATACTAACTGACATATAAATCCGAACACCCAGTTTAAATGGTTTTATTTTAATAAAAGTTGGTGAATGTATTTATCTTACTGTAAATAACAAGTGAAAAAATGTTCAGCCATAGTTGGACATTTCGGTTTCTTTACTGCTTTTTTTTAATTCACTAACGCTCTAAAAATGAATATTTTAGCCGCAGTAAAGAATCAACGTTGGCGGATTTTGGTTCTTCACATCCTTTACGATCGGTTACGATGCCTAGAGTACGGAGACCTGTACGATTTTGTCAACTTAGTGAGTTTGATAGGGGCCGTATAGTGGGACTTTGGGAAGCTGGACTTTCTTTTCGGGCAATTGCAGTTAGAGTGCAAAGAAGTGTAGACACTGTGGTTAGGTGTTGTCAGGCATGGCTTCGAGAAGGCCGTACGCAAAGAGCAAGGGGCACTGGACGCCGGCGTAGAACAACAGACCGTGAAGATCGCCGCCTAAAATTATTGGCCTTAAGGGACCGTTTCTCCACTACCAGGTCAATTGCAAATGAATGGTTTGCAGAACAAGGAAGACCTAACCGACGAATGAGAAGTTTTGGCTTGTTTCCATACCGGCCACACTGGGTCCTCCCTTTAACTCGAGAACACCGACGTAATCGCCTTGAGTGGTGCAGACAACGGTCACTCTGGGATCAGGAATGGAACAGTATTGTCTTTAGTGACGAGTCTCAATTTTGTTTAGGCATGCACGATGGTCGTGCCAGGGTTAGAAGGCGACGTGGTGAAAGGAGGAATCCACAGTTTCTTGTTGAAAGACATGTTCATCACACTGTTGGAGTTATGGTTTGGGGTGCTATAGCTTATGGTTCCAGGTCACCCTTAATCTCCATCAGAGGTAACATGAACGCGCAGCGTTATATCCACGAAGTTATAGAACCCCATCTTTTACCCTATCATGACACCCTGGCAGACAAAACTGTCCAACAAGATAATGCCCGACCACATGTTGCAAGAGTCACAATAGACTTCTTTCAACATAATGATGTCACATTGTTACCATGGCCACCAAGATCTCCCGACTTATCCCCAATTGAGCACGTGTCAGATATGATGGGTAGGAGATTGCTCAATTTGCATCGTCCTCCTCAGACTATAGAAGCACTTCGAGAGGAGTTGGTGGTTGCCTGGAATGAGATACCACAGGAGGACATTGACCACCTGATCAGAAGCATGCCTAGGCGCGTTGGAGAATGCGTAGCACATCAGGGTGCATCCACACATTATTAAAGGTCAAAGGGCTTTAAAGCAGTGCAATCATTTTGAAATTTTTATCATTTACTTATTATGCTTCATTAAGTACTTATACAAAATTTTATTAAGATAAAACCATTTAAACTGGGTGTTCGGATTTATATGTCACTTAGTATATTAGCAAACTTCCCCGAAATAATTGTAAAGACTGGTATTATTGGTGCGAGTTGTTCAAGGCGCAATTTAAAACACGGACGCATAAAACGGGTACACCAATTTTTGTGGGAAAACTTTTTATTTGACAACAAAGGATGAGAAAACGTGTTTTTTGGATTCAATCCAAGGTGTTGACAGGAACGAAAAAACTTTTCATGCAAGATTATTAGGTATTTACAAGACCCACAAAATGAGACTACAAGTGAAAAGATCGTACTAATAGCAAAAATGTCATGGCCGAAACGAGTCAAAATGCAGGTTCTGCCACTTGTTGGTAATGCGACAATTATTTTACGCAACATACTTCTAAATAACAACAACAAAATTTTGGTATATTGATCAAGTAGTTTTTTGAGAATTTGTAATTATTTATTCCAAAACACCTGTTTTTCGGCCATCACTCCTAGTCTATCGAGCAGCATACAGGGTTCTTCAAGGATCAGTTGTTAGCAAAATACACGTGTTTACCTTAATATGAATCACAAACCAGTCCTAAAGATAAATATTATTTTTATACGAAAAACGTAGGTTGCGTTTTTTTCTTCTAAACAAGTTCATACATTTCGTATTTGTGAGTAATAGAACAAATGCGCTACGGTATTCGAAAAACATAAGTTACTATACATATTTTGAAACAAAGCGGATGAGTCTATCATCTTTTGTTGCAAATTACTCACAAATACAAAACGTTTGAGTTTGTTTAGAAGAAAAAATGTAACCCATACTTTCTTGCATAAAAAGAACATTTATCTTCCGGAATGGTTTGCGATTCATATCGGCAGGGTAAACTAGTGTATTTTGCTATAAAATGCCCTTTGAACGAACCCTGTATATTGTTCAGTAAACTAGTAGTGATGGCCGGAAAACAGGTGTTTTGGGATAAACATTTAGAAATCCTCAAAAACTACCTGACCAATTTACTACAATTTTATTGTGGTTATCTATAAGTACGAATCCTACGAATTTGGAGAGTTTCAAGTATCTGTAAGAAACCATAATCGCATTACCAACAAGTGCCAAAACCTGCAATTTGCCTGGGTTTTCGGCCATAACTTTTTTGCTATTAGTAGAATCTTTTCACGTGTGATATCATTTTGTAGGCCTCATAAATACCTAAAAATCTTATATGAAGAGTCTTTTCGCTTCTGCCAACACTTTCTGTTGAATCCCAAAAAACACGTTTTCTCTTTGTTGTCAACTAAAAAGTTTTACCACAAACATTGGTGTACTCAATTTATGCGTCCATGTTTTGGATACCCTCTTGAATAACTTGCAGCAATAAAACCGGACTTTACAATTATTTCGCAAACCAGGTATTTTCGTCTAATATTATTAGACTAATTCACATTTCTTTACCTCCGTTATCAGATACTTTTAAACATGTGGAGCCTCTAGATCGGCAATACTTGTGGTCCGGCTCTTTATCTAGGATGTATCAGCTGTATCTCGACTATATCTTGGCAATACTGTCTGCACTGTGTAGACACACACATTGTCAAAAAATTTCCCATAAGAGATACAAAATGAGACAAGAATGACTGACAGAATTGAATGCATCACGCCAGCTTACACAATTAACAATTAAGTAGGATTCCAATAATTTAGCTATCTGACAGCAATATATGAAAATAGGTAGGAAATATTTCCCGTTTAGAAGCGCCATGAGACGCAGTTATTTGTTACCTTAAACCTTTTTTCTCCTTGGAACAATAGTAGCCTCAATGTTGGATTACAGAAGATACATTTAAGCTCGATTTTACTCTTGGCCGGCAGCAGTCAAATTTTGCGCGAATGCAGCTATGGCACAAAAATGTCTGGACATAAAAGTTGACGGAAGCTCCATCAACCAAAAGGGATTTTGTGGTCTACGCGAAACTTGGGTCAAACCTGATACAATAGAATGGCATGACGCCATTACTGGGCATTTTATTGGAAGTAACTCTCTCACTATTGCTGTACAAAATTCTGCTTAAATTCCTTGAAGACATTAATAAGATTAGAAAAGCGTTGGCTGATTTACTGATTCCATTTTAGTTGGACTTTTACGAACAGTTTTGCACAACGACTAGTTGTAACAATCACAATAAACAATTTTCACTATGAGATATTATGTATGGTCTATGTTCCTGGCACCTGCCAGTTGCAGTTGGTTGGCAGTTTATTGCACAGACCAACTACAACGACAAAGAATCAATGGCGACTTTATAAATCAGCCTTATTCCTTTGTCATCACTTATCCGAATATCAAACCCTATGCCTCAATTCTGTCCTTGTCATAATGCCAACGCAGTTCCAAACTTTCTTCAGAATTGCTATTACTCTTTATGAGTTATAAAGAGGCTAAGGATTACCGGACATACGGCGACGACGACGGTCGACAGACATATTGCGTAGTAAGGCTGAACTATACTTTAGCGCATGAAAGTATGTAAATTGCACAAAAATATAATTTTTTCTTTAAGGAACCCTCTCCTTGCTATTTCATAGAACTTCAAAGTTGCATTTTGGGTGGTAATACTGTGGTATTGAATACTGCCTTATAAGCTGTTTTTTTTCTTGTTCACACAAAAGATTGCTCAACACTATATGAATATAACATACACTGTAAATTATTGCCACACTGTTCATCACAATAACGTAATTTTGCATTATTTTAATGATGAAAATCTACTAAGTGACATATAAATCCGAACACCCAGTTTAAATGGTTTTATTTTAATAAAAGTTGGTGAATGTATTTATCTTACTGTAAATAACAAGCGAAAAAATTTTCAGCCTTATCAGTTGGACATTCCGGTTTTTATACTGCTTTTTTTTTAATCCACTAACGCTCTAAAAATGAATATTTCAGCCGCAGTAAAGAATCAACGTTGGCGGATTTTGGTTCTTGACATCCTTTACGATCGGTTACGATGCCTATAGTACGGAGACCTGTACGATTTCGTCAACTTAGTGAGTTTGATAGGGGCCGTATAGTGGGACTTCGGGAAGCTGGACTTTCTTTTTGGGCAATTGCAGTTAGAGTGCAAAGAAGTGTAGATACTGTGGTTAGGTGTTATCAGGCATGGCTTCGAGAAGGCCGTACGCAAAGAGCAAGGGGCACTGGACGCCGCCGTAGAACAACAGACCGTGAAGATCGCCGCCTAAGATTATTGGCCTTAAGGGACCGTTTCTCCACTACCAGGTCCATTGCAAATGAATGGTTTGCAGAACACGGAAGACCTATTGGCATGCGAAGTGTTTACCGACGAATGAGAAGTTTTGGCTTTTTTTCATACCGGCCACACTGGTTCCTCCCTTTAACTCGAGAACACCGACGTAATCGCCTTGAGTGGTGCAGACAACGGTCACTCTGGGATCAGGAATGGAACAGTATTGTCTTTAGTGACGAGTCTCGATTTTGTTTAGGCATGCACGATGGTCGTGCCAGGGTTAGAAGGCGACGTGGTGAAAAGAGGAATCCACAGTTTTTTGTTGAAAGACATATTCATCACACTGTTGGAGTTATGGTTTGGGGTGCTATAGCTTATGGTTCCAGGTCACCTTTAATCTTCATCAGAGGTAACATGAACGCCCAGTGTTATATCCACTAAGTTCTAGAACCCGATCTTTTACCCTATCTTGACACCCTGGCAGATCCAACTTTCCACCAAAATAATGCCCGACCACATGTTGCAAGAGTCACAATAGACTTCTTTCAACATAATGATGTCACATTGTTACCATGGCCACCAAGATCTCCCGACTTATCCCCAATTGAGCACGTGTGGGATATGATGGGTAGGAGATTGCTCAATTTGCAACGTCCTCCTCAGACTCTATTAGCACTTTGAGAGGAGTTGGTGGTTGCCTGGAATGAGATACCACAGGAGGACATTGACCACCTGATCAGAAGCATGCCTAAGCGCGTTGGAGAATGCGTAGCACATCAGGGTGCATCCACAGTGCAATCATTTTGAAATTTTTATCATTTACTTATTATGCTTCATTAAGTACTTATACAAAATTTTATTAAAATAAAACCATTTAAACTGGGAGTTCGAATTTATATGTCACCTAGTATAGTTCATTGTTAAGTAGTCATTTCTTTTATTTCAGATAAATATTCCCATTACTACACCACCATCACTAACATGCTCTCTCCTATACCCTAATTTGGTTTGTCAAATTATTACTTATATATTAGCACAAAAATGTGCAAACGGCACAGGATTGTCATGGAAACGCGATTTGGAGGTGTCGTCGATAGATTTTACTGTACTAAATCCACCTCGGACCCTACGATAGCGTTAGCTAAAGACACTTTTTTGAAGAATGCCTTATACCCTTCACAAAAGTACTTCGGTTATTGTTTTTCCTATATTGTAGTTATAATGTATTTACTTTTTGTATGTATGTACTTGAAGAATTATTTAAAGTGAAGCTGATGTCACAAAATGTACCTAATTATATGTGATGTATATGAGAAATAACTGAACAAGTTGCCAATCACTGAATAATGAAGACATAACAAAGGACATTGCAAGTTTTTTGATAATTTGATGAAATGATCGTTGATCTATATTCAAATATAATGTTGGACGATGATGTTGGGTGAACCTGGCGAGGTCGTCCATATCGACGTTAGGTATTTTTATATGCAATGACCGCTGGAGCCTTTTGTATTTTTTATGTCACGCGAGCCGGTGGTACATTTTCCACTATTTAGACACATACTGTACAGAATTTTATCTAGTTTTCGGTAAACATTGGGACAACTTCTCATAAAACAAGCAATTTGCAAAGAGTTAAGACTTTTATTTTGCAAATAACCTCATTTTTTATCACGTATTTCTCCCAAAAAAGGTACAACTTGGCAACAATGGACATCATTTATCTTATCTCTCAAGAAATGAAGTTATAAAATGGCCGTTGAGAATTGTTTGTACTTTCAAAAAATTCTTATAGACGCAAAAACTTTGATCTCATTGAAAATACGCGAAAAAGTGGTTAGGAAATTTCAAGAAAACATTGAAAAATCACAACACGACACCTCTACACGGTTTACCAAGTAAATGCCATCATTTACGTAATGTATTTTGAACTGTTATTTCAGCTAATAAGCTAAGGTGTGATAACACGGCTGGTTTTGAACCTTTTTTTGCAAAAAACGATTTTTACAGTTTCACATCTATTTTCCTTAGTACATACGGTGCTTATATTCTTATAATTTAGGGCGTCCTTTTGTGAAAAAAGCAAAAAAAGGCAGCGTATAAAACAGTATTCTATTCTAGAGTATTACCACCAAAAATGCAACTTTGAAGTTCTATCAAATAGAAGCCTTAAAGAAATAATGATATTTTCGTAAAAGTTACATCCTAATCTTTCGTCTTAAAGTAAGAAATGAAGTATTTGCGATATGCGCTAAAGTATAGTCTTACCCATAGTAATGACTTTAATGTACTTTTCTCGGAGACATCACTGGTGCAACATATTAAAGCATTTGCTGCTGGATCATCTGCTCTCTGTTCAAGCAAATTTGGTTGTACATTAGCTTCATGCAATCGTTCTCTAGAAGGGTTCATTACTTCTGTGCTACACTGGAGTATAAAATTCAACCTATATGCAATTCCTCTTAAGTATGAATCAACATTTGTTTAAGCTACAAGAAAAACTCATTCGGTGATAGTTTGAATACTTCTGTCACGTCTGACAGGAACATAATGAAATGAACGCCACCGTGCTTTCTTATGTCTTGGATGTGGGCAATGAGCAAACTTCTGAGGAGGCAGCTCCTCCAAGAAAACGCATTGATTGGGACCTATACAAGTTGCTCCTTAGAGAGTTTCCCAATATCCCGATTATAGATGATGAGTCTGGAATAGATGCCGCTCAAGCGGAGTGGACAAGTTTCATTCAAGCAGCTCTACAGCGTGCAGCTGTATTTCCTGTACGACGACACGGCAGACCTTTTTTACCTGCGGACATTCGTCAGAAAATCTCTGACAAAAGAGCCGCTATTAAGCAGGCAAAAAGGTCTTGTCATCCTGATGACATTCGTAGGGCTACAAATCTTGTCCATGAAGTGAGAAACGCACTGCACGAACTCCGCAACGAGCAATGGAGCGACTTTCTGGCGGGAACGCTTGCTCCAAGTATTCCTCTCTGGAGGGTCGCAAAGTCACTCAGAAACGGAAAGCGAGAACAACTCCCACACATCCACGGTCCTGAAGGCATAGTCTTCAGAACGGAGGATAAGGTCGAGGTTTTCGCTGATGCCATGGAAAAACAGTTATCTCCCAACTATGATCTCGATAATGACCTCGACGAGGAACAGCACATCGTACGATCCGTCAGGAGATATTTTAGGGCCAACGGCGTTAGCGGAGGCACTGAATCCTCTTCAGATGACTCTTCCTCAGAAGATTGGTCTGATGCTCCACATTGCACATTAGCGGAACCCTCCGAGTTTCCACATTGCACACCAGCGGAGTTACTAAGTCATATTAAAGACCTCAAGGTGCGTAAAGCACCTGGGGAGGATCAAATCACCAACAAGGCGTTGAAGCTGCTCTCGCCGAAAGCCCTGACATACTTGGTGACAATAATCAATTCGACGCTCAAAATCCACTACTTCCCTGCTGGGTGGAAGACTGCTGAGGTCATCATGATTCCAAAGAAGGTGGGTTCGATATTTCCTCAGGATTACCGTCCCATAAGTCTGCTGTCAGCTCCTTCTAAGCTCGCCGAAAAGGTGATTTATCGTCACCTTGAGAATTTTTGGTCAAATCACCATGTGATTCCTGACGTCCAATTCGGTTTTCGGTCCGAGCATAGCACCGAGCTACAGGCAGTCAGGCTGGTGCAGCATGTAACCAGAGGGTTCACCCTTAGCAAGAGTACTGGCATCTTGCTTTTGGATGTCTCAAAAGCCTTTGACAAGGTGTGGCACGCGGGCCTCCTCTATAAACTAATCCAAAAGGGTTTTCCTTTTTGGCTTCTAAAATTACTGAAATCCTTTCTTGAAGGAAGGAAGTTTCGGATCAAAATTAACAATGTTTTGTCAACAACACGGCGAGTACGTGGGTCCTAGGACCAATTCTTTATTCGCTTTTCATCCATGATGTCCCTTCCCCCAGCAACTGTGAAGTCTACCTCTATGCTGACGACACTGCACTTGTCGCCCAGTCGTGATCTGGTTCACGATGGGTTGCAGAATGCGGTGGACGAAGTTCTAGAGTGGGCGGAACGGTGGCTGATAAAAATTAATCATTCGAAAACGCAGGCTATTTATTGTACCAAAAAACGTCGCGGCCCCCCAGCAGAGGTTTCTGTAGACGGAAATCGAGTACCATGGACAAATTCTGCCAAGTATCTTGGTGTCACACTTGATAAAGGCATGACCTGGCAGAAACATACAGCATCCATAAAAACAAAATTCCAAATTGCGTTTCGGCAACTATATCCTTTGTTATGTAGATCCTCCAAATTGAGTTTGATAAACAAAGTTCGACTATATAAAATGATTATTAGACCAGCCATTACTTATGCATGTGCGGCTTGGTGTTTTCTTGCCAAGACACGCATGCAAAGTCTTCAAGTACTGCAAAGCAGAACTTTGCGGACAATTTGCAACGCTCCATGGTATGTCTCAAATGAGACACTGCACAGAGACCTTGACATTCCTTACTTGAGGGATTATGTCAAGCTTCAGGCGCAGCGACGTTATAGTCGAGCGGAATCGCACAGCAACCCTCTGTTGCGTGACTCAGTGGACTACACAGTGGAGCAAGTTCGTAAACATTCAAGGCCACGGCTCGCACTGTAATCAAAAGTTAGCGTGAATCTTTAGTAAACTCAAAATTACACTCTAACAAAACCGAATCAAAAATTTGTTTAGTTCACCTCAAAATTAATCCGTGTACCAAGTCAAAAAGCCTAGGTGTTTCCTCTTAAACTAAGCATATCTGTTTTTCTTTGTTCTTCTCCTTTTTTCTTCTCTTTCCCTTTCTCTTTTTCCTTGACTTTGTCTGGTTTCTGGGCAACCAGGACTGACAGATTCGACTAACCTACATCAGACAGTGACTAATGGGCAAAGGTCCTACGGACCGCCCAGACAAATAAATGACGAATAGTGCCACCGCGCTTTCTGCTAAGTGTCAAATTAAATAAACCTAATCTGAGAGTTGGCTTACGGGTGCTAGTAATTGTTTAATCGGAAACGCTGTGTTTACGGTTTTAAGTATTATACTCGGTGCCTTTTGATTGCTAATATTCAAGCTAGGAAAGGCAAATTAATTTACAGTTGAAAGTGACAATGGAAATCTATTTTAAAAAAATTACAAGTTTGTTTTTCATGCATATTTTGAAAATAGAATAAAAGATATATTTGCTATTCCTGGATTCAATATTAGCAACCTGGATTCAAACGCACCTCCCTGTATAACGGTATAAACGGGCCCATAGCACTTACGCTCAGAACAACATGAATTATTGGCGCTCTACTACTATCTAAGACCTTGATTACGCACGGCATGATGTAAAAATGGACGTCAGGGTCATGCTAGTCAACCGGTAAAGGATTTTGTATAAGCAAATCCTACAGTTTTGGCAACAGTCATGCTTTTGGTGGTATCATTAGATTTTTGCTTCTTAATGAGTTTAAGTTGTCGTAATAAAAGGGCTAGGTGCTTTGCCACCGTTTCGATAAGCCCATTTGATTGAAAGCGAAACCAAAACATTTTTGTAGGGAATCAAATGATTTATAATTTGACTCCTATAAAAATTGTCAGGCTGTTACTTTGGCTATTATAGGCGAAAATATCTTTACATTAATTACATTTATTCTGTAACCTGTTGACTATATGACAAACTTTTTATAGAAGCAAAATGATAAAGATTTTAATTCCCTACATGATTGTTTTTTTGATTTGCCATTAGAATATTGTATGTTATAAGATATATAATGACATATTTGAATATGAAAAATCAATCCATTACACCACCACCGGATTCTCTGTAAACATCTTATTTTTTTGCAAAGAAAATGGCAATGCACCCATACTTTTCATGGTGAGGATTTTTTGTAGTCATCCTGATCACAAAAAAATCTCTCCCTTACAATTCTCTCCTCAAAATTTGGTTAAAAAGAACACTATGGTCACATTAAAACATATCAGTTGCATACCAATAATTTTTTTGTAATTTTCTGGACTTTACTGGTGGCGCAATAAAATAACTTTGTGTGCAAAAATATGTTATTTTATACGATTTTATATGATGTAATTACAAATGACATTAAAAAAACTTTTGAAGGTAAAAGTAGGAACGATTCTTGAGTTAAAATATAACACTTTTCTTCATAAAATCATCCTAGAAATCATATCTTGGAATGTTACTACATCATTTAGGAGCATCTTGTATTAGCACGTATTTGACTTACTCAAGCAACATATACCGCGTTCCCCTGAACAAGACCTTAAAGTTACAATGAGACTGAAAAAGTTTTTTTTTATTTTGTGGTTAAAGGGGTGTTATCAAAATGTCGACGCCTTACCTTTCCGCTGAGAAAACAAGATCTTAATGCACAAGACATAGAACGTGGCATATCGAAATGTCCCATTTACTTCCAAACAGTGTACTCAAGTTAAAACACTTCATCTCAACTTGCTTACAATATCAGATTTCAGCAGAGTGTACTAAGAATTTATATTAGATACGACAAAGATTAATTAGAGTTAGGATCGAGAAACATTGCTGAAGTTTTCGCGAAGTGGATCAACCAGAAACTTTTGCTGTGGGGTATGAATAGGCTGCACAAACTTTTTACCAGGAGATTCTTTCACGGTATGTCGAACTTTTGGTAGCTCTCAGCCAATGCGTGGGAAAGTTGGAAAGCTTAGTCTTGATCCAGCTCGCCGGAACAACAGAAAATACGGTTTGTACAGAGGTTTTTAATTGGATACTGGTCCATTTACTTCCCACCTTTGAGCTGTGAGATGTTTTCGAAAGAAACCTAAGTTAAGATAGCTTTTTACATCCAGCATTGTCCAGAAGAAGACGGCAATCTGTTGGTTATGTAGGAAATAAGAGATTGATTGTTCTCTATACAATTTTCTATTGCACTATAGTTAAGACTTCAAATTTCTGAACCAGTTGGCGGGGAAACATGGTAATTCGTTAATTTAAGGGAAAGCAGATCGTAGAAAATATGACCATATGAGATTTGTTTACATGTCCTAGCAAAATCACAAGTTATTCTGTAGGTGTGGGTAGGCAAGAAAACGAAGGGATTATATTCGTAAAAAGAAATAAACAGTAAGCTTGCCGACCCTATCCCTGAGAAAGAATGTATGCTTGTCATTTTGTAGCCAATCAATACGGTAACAATTTCCTACTAATCATCCCTTCTCATAAAGTGAACCATTTATGAAGTACATAAAAATGTGTATTTTTAATGAAAAAAAAATCGCTGGATATAGTCAAGAGTGTGAGCATCTTTTGACATCTTTCAACAGTACCTATTTTGAGAGATGATGAAATGAGCTTAAATTTTACACCTTAATTTATATTAGTTTTTTCTAAATCGTTTTACCATTTTTTTTATTAGAACGCTTTACGTTCACTAATGTCATCATCAATCATCAATCATATCATTTTCTGGAATACCAACACCTACAAAATAACCTGTAATTCATGGAATTCATATCCGGATCTTAGACTATATGAAGAGCCAGTTAGTATCTATACTGCCAAAATTTCCTTTAACTCCCACAATCAGAATAAATGGCTATTTGGTAGATTTCTGCCGCCCAGTTAAAATTAAATACTAGTCACAGGTTGTTAGCTGTATCATGCTCCGAGTCTAAAAGGAAGTACAAGCGTGACTTTTGTCGATATGGCATCTTGACATTGACTGCATGCTGCCTGCGTTTGGCAGTCTTAGCGTTAAAATTTTTATACTCAAATTCTAACTGAAATCCCACAACATGAGTAGAAAGTATCGCCAAGAAGAAGAGAAAGCCAAACAGTTATCCTCAGAACTCCAAGAAGAGGAAGATAAACTGAAGTTACAAAAAGAACGCATTTTTGGTCCAATAGTTTGGAAAAGGCTAGCATATGGAATCAGGATCCAAGACTTACATGCCATGTACTTTGAACCATTGCTGGATATTATTGAGGAGCACTACGTTACCGAGAATGTGGTATTTAGGAACACGAGATTTCTAGAAGACGATAAGTTAGAAAATATGTCTTAAACGTGATAGTTCTCTTAGCATAGAAGTTATTACTTTGCAAGGTTTGGGAATATTTCAAAAATACTCTTAAAATGATGATGTCAGTGCCATATGGCCTCAGCCAGGAAAGCTAGCTTCAGCATTTAACTAAACTAATACCATAAAGATGGAACTCCATGATGTTTTGACCAAACGAAATCACATATGCTGATATCATACTTCTTAGTATAAGAAGCACAAAACTTTTCGCATATCCCACATTATTATCATAGTGGGTATTATCCACTATACACATGACATGTATTGACCATAGGCTGTCAGCTTATCTAGAGAAGCTACATTACATGCACAAACCCATATAGATAATATTCACCAAACGCTATTTCTACGGCGAATGTCACAGGATCAGTATTTACTGTAATTTGTTAGTATTTATCGTGGAATGAAATATTTATTGACTGTGGAGGCAGGACGCTACTAGTTACTGATGTATAAGGTTACGTATAAGTCGAATGACACTGAAGGAGTGATCATTAAATAATGACGATACATACATCCAGAACTGGCCGATATGACCGCTCCTTTGTCCCTAGGCTGTCGAGACACTAGAACAATCTACAAGAGGAGGCCTTTACCAGTTCTACTGACCTTAGGCAGTTCAAAAATCGGATTAACAAAGTTTCTTTCTGATACTCATAGCATTCGCGGTGCCCAGGCATTTAGGCTGCTGCCTGCGCGACAACCACAGTGAATACTCATGAATAAAAATTATCTCCTTATGGACGCCAGTACGTAGGACAATCTTTAGTAGTAGAGCTTAATATCAATATTCTGTAGGTCCGTAAAGTCATATAATGAGAAGCTGATTCACACAATGAAGGACCGCGTATCCATAATTGCTATCGATGAAGAAAATGATGAAATTGCCGGCGCTTTAATATTAAAAGCAGTAAAAAAATGTGACTATGGAAGAGTTTTCAGTAGAGTAATGCTGTCCGATGGAGTGATATACCAGAGTGTTAAGGTATATATAATATGTAAAGTTACAAATGGCAAAGTCTGGTCAATGGCCATATATACTTAACCGTTGTATTAAAATATAGGATTGAAAGGTACATTTCGGACTATCACCTTTAAATGCTTTTAGGTGGTGCAAAATGTTATGGAACTGAAAACCGTAGACATTTCCCGGAATGTACACCTTTTTGTGTGTTTGCTGTATTCCAACAATAAAATGTGGCGTGTTTGTTAAATTGCGATTCTTCTTTAATGTTTTGCTGTTCCCTCTCCCAAGTTTTTGCAGAGATAAGCGTGTTCTCGCAACATAAATTACAGCAACAGGGTTTAGATATGACAGTTCGGTATCCCTGCAAAAATCTTTTCTAACGAGTTTGAGGTTATCACGTGACGAAGGACCAACTATATGCTTATTTTCTATTAGCGTCTGTATATATTTCTCACGGATATAGCAACCTTTCTACTGGAAAAGTCTCAGCTTGCAGCTACTTTTTGCTTATATCCGTTATGATGTTCTGTCTAATCCGTAATTTAATCAAGGTCCTTCATCCGCTGGAGTTATGCGTTTTATTTGTACACAAAACAGGAGGTACTCCAAGAGAGGATACGACGCGGAATGTCTTTGAAGTTTTCTGATCGTCTTTATTGCTGCTGCAATACTCTCTGTCTATTCTAAACCATAAGCAGAGCCATCCACGTGCGAACGGCCAAACCGACAGTAGAACGCCAACGAAGTGTCCACGTAGTATTGTCAAGTTGTCAGAAAATATTTAGAAAATGGTGTACTTAAATGAGCTAAATCATCATCTTTAAAAGTACGTATTAGAAAATATTCAACTCAGCACGTACACTAACGGCCTGGCTTGCTAAAATATGAATGTTGGACCTGATATCCAATGCAGTTTTCAAGAATACTGTTTACTATCGGGTCCACTGCCGAACGTGATATAAGATACCTTTTGTGCTTGCTCTGCTCGATAAATTTGCACAAATACTATTTTTCCAACGTGCTATTCACACATTGAATGGATAGGTAGACTGTAAATGGATGATTAGTATCCTTATTCATTCATAAGTGCACGTCTGATCTAAAATAACACATAATGCTTTAAAAATAATTCGCCTATCTTGCAACACCGCATTCGTCTCTCGGCAGATAACAATACGTAGTTAAACCTCATTTTTCCCCTTAAAATTGGAGTGGCTAGTATACTTTTCTCTAATTTTAACTGCCTTGTCTCTTGATATACCTCCCTTTGTTCATCCGTACGGGAAAATTAAACCAAATGTGACTTTTCTAGCAGAATGTGTCCAAAGGACGTAAACTTCCCCTATTTGGCATTATTCACTCGGTTTCAGCCAACGAATGCAGACTAGGTAGAAGGAGCGTGCCTACAATTTGTTTGTCTCCAACATCTCATTCTGTAGTCATGATGCAAGTGCATACTACAAGTGGACTTGACCTAAGATAATTTTTTGTCCTTTAATTCATATTTTGATGTTATTTTTTAGAAAAACGTGCGCGGACAATTGTGGTGTTAGACTATTTCAGTACATGGTCCATCTAACATAACCTGTTTTATCACAACTCTGTACACGTAAACGCAACCACTTCCATATCCAACATACATCATAAGTAATTGCCATACATTTTATATAGTGTTAACGTTTACGTATGCGGTATTGTGATTAACCATAACCCTGCTGTCACGTTTGATTCATTCGAATTTTTCATAGGGTGGAGTAGTGCTTTCCCAATGATTGCAGTTTATTTTAGACAGTAAATCAAAGATCCAATTATAGGAGTTCATGAACTATGTCAACCGAAAAGTGGATATCTATGAACATTTCCAATGTGAAATTTTCCTAAGATTTTATTTACTCTGCATTACCCCACCATACAGAGGAAGAGGCCTAGGATTTCAAATGATGCTGACAGGTGAGCTTACTGATACACTTGTAACATACAGTTGGGGTTCTCTTCTTTTTAACTGCGGTTACGAATCAGATACTAAATTAGATTTTCTAGAAAATATATTCAATATTGGTTCCTTTAAACTGAATCCGAATGAATCAATTCGTTAATAACACTAATTTCGTCGATCCGACCAACTGTGTACGGCTCTGCTTAATGCTTATTGGTAATGAGCGATACGAACCAGGTGGGATAATGAATGAAATCAGAATACAATGACTCTTAGGCACAAACCATCAACAACTATCTAGGTACTTAACATTGAGCTTTCCCAAAGAGAGTAAAATAAGTTTATTTGTACCAGATATCTGGCAGGGGCGGTTTCATTATATTTGTGCGTCCATGCGAAGGTCTTTCGGCAGCTATCATCAAAACAACCCTGCCCTCGTGGCCTTATAAACGCTTCCTTTATGGGTGGTCGGAAGGGTTAAAAGACGTTGCGTTGTGCTCTCCTTTGATACTCTAGCTACTGAAGGCATAATTGGACAGGTAGGTCTGTGATGGGTTGCTACTGTGGCGCTGCCTACTGGGGATCCCAACCCTTAGAGATTCTGTGACTAGATACCCTAACGAAATCTGTCACAAAGGTAAGCTAGTGACAACCTTTGTCTTTACCACTATCGGTACGATCATAATGCATGTGTTACTGGAGGATAGCTCGTTTATATAAACACGTGTCTTAAAATGTCTGATTTCTAAGATACAGGGTGTCATTCTCCCAATAATACATTCTGCTCCTTGACAGGCAAAAATAATAGCAAACTGTCACGGAAAGTCAAAAATATGTTCATTGCAACAAAAAAATATTCCCTAGCAGGGAGATCGACGGTACGCCAAGAAACAATGCATCGGAAACATCCTTTGGAGAACGGAGAGCCGCTTAATTTTCAGATAATGATTGTAGAAGGAAGATAAACCAAAATATGTGTGTAAAAATAAAAAAAAATTAAAAAAAAATTTTACCTTGTTTTATAAAGTATCCTCCCGACAAGTATTTCAGTGCGGACCTGTATTTGATCGTGAGGTCTTGGAGCACCGGCATGCCGTCACCTGATTCACGAGCCCGTTGTACTACATTAACAAAGGCACGAGGGGTTGGTTGCACTCGATTGGGAAACCGATCCACATAAACATGTGCCATTTTTTATTTCGTTTGAGCCACGCAACAGACACCACTACTCACTGACACTGACTGTATACAAATGCATAAAATAATTGTAAAAACATCGTTCCAAATTCTTTCGCTTTTTTGTTACCGATGCGATGAACCGATACGGTGGATTATATCCGCTGTCGCCAAACACGAGCACATAATATTATAATATAGAGACAGGGCGGTACTCAAACTCTCTAAGGGCTATAACTTTGTTACTTTAATTTTACCAGAAAAATGGTAAAGGAAAAAAACATTTCTTTTGATCAGATCTACTTACTGTTAAAATAAATGACTCAACTTCGAAGTATATATTGATAAACACTTTTTTTTAAGCTTTGTCTCCCTGCGTCTTGAAAACACAAGTTTATATAGGCTTTTCAACTTAAATTTGATTCAAGATTGAACTCTTGAAATTACGGCCTATAATTCAGTAACACGCTGTATAGACGTTCACATCAGAAAAGTATCAGTTAGATGAGTTGCCAAATGTCCAGTTAATCACGGTATGTAAAACGTGGATCGGAAAATGGCACTTAAATTTAGGCATTTTACATAACCGCACTTGCCAGGTTATCCAGTTGTATTTTCGTCCATGTAAAAGTTGTGATACTAGTGCTTTAGCGGCCATTAAGTTTGGTAATTACTCGTACAGATATTAGGAAAACGTATTAACGGAACATTAATTCCTTTTTAGGTATAGATATAGCCAGACATTTGAATATTCCAGTTGTTATGGGTCTAATGACCAACTGGAAGTTGCAGAAACTAGCAAGGAAGTTGGGAATGGAAACACTTTACGAGATCGAGTATAAAACTTGGGTCGATGAAGCAGGGTAAATAACTTCGGTTGGATTACAACTCCCACACTACTCGTCGTGCTACGATGTTACATCGTAACTGAAATCGACAGCTAGGAAAACCAGCATACATGTACATACAATAAGTTCCGAGTTCGGCAGCGTTATTCGGCAGATAGGAAATATCGTCTGACCATTGGGTCTTATCTCAATTGCAACACAATACATTTCTTCTAGTCTCACACTTTATCTATCCTGAAAAGCTCATGGTTCTACATGTACTTCGTGTCAAATATCAATAACAGAGAACACTTTAATATTAACGGTTTTCAGCTTTACTCTGATATATTAAAATATATTTGTTAGCAATGGTGAAGTATATTGTTACTGGCATTAAGTTGATCAGTTGATCACGTTATCTGGAGACGCCCTGAATTACACACAGGGTACAGGGTAGTCAAAAGTATGGAAAAATGTTATATTTGAGCTGAACCAAAAGTTATTGCGTCATGCTCAATTGACCATGGATGAAAGACATTGACAATTTTGAGGAAACTCGTCAAGGTCATACAAAAAATCTATCAGATTCAATGTGCACCGGGGGTTAGGTAGTATACCTGACCCTGTACCCTGGTTTTGGGCGTTCTAGACGAAGCGAGCCATACTAACTCTATTAAAACTGCTCACTGATATCACTGCGTAAAGTGCCTTCTTATTAAAAGTAAAGAGTCGGAGGTCTGAAAAATACCACAACCAATCTTTTCTAAAATAGAACTGTCATGAATTTCTAGCTGATCTACCTGTATGTGTAAAAATGGTAGGACAGTATCAGAAAATATGTTTGCAACAAAGTCTTGTTTCATGCATCAGAGATGTGTGTGAGTCGAGGAGGGATTATAGTAACTCAAGACTAAGGTTTGATAGCGCATTCCTCTGTGTCTATGGGATAGGATGAGGGGCCCGGAATGTTACAAACGAATGTGGTTGGAAGTGATAGTGGTAACGTCTGATACTGGAAGAGAGCGTTGGATATCCCCGGCTAGTGACGGTGCTAGATGCAAGCAAATGTAACGTTGAAATGTGCAGAGTTTAATAGCAGCGAATTAATTTTAGTAGCACCACCATCTCTCATGTCCTATTCCAGTAACAATATCATTTTGGTTCGTGAGCAGAAGCTGTTTGCTGCATTTTAGGTTCCCAAAAATAAGTGCTATTGCAACATTAGCCTTATTTTAGAGATTTTGAAATAACGACAAAAAGCTCTGTATCAAAATTCAGATGTAATTGAAAATCCAAGAGTGTTTGTATAGTACCGTTTTATGTAAAGAAATTGTTACAAATTGTGGTTCAGTTGGGATCGCTTTCTTTAGATGGTGGCGCTAAATATGTTTCTGAAAAGTATCTAAGAGTCCATAGTCGACTAATAATCTCTGATGTGTATTCGATATCGAAAGAATACAATGTTTAATATTGACATGACTTCTGTATAAGTGAAAGGCACTGTTCTCACAATAACTAAACTCGACTTTAACGTGATTTCGTATCGTTTTAAGGTTGTGCAAAAAGTCACAAGTATGTACTTTACTAGTAACAAAAGTTATAGGAATAGCAAAAACAAACGAAAAAATCATATACCTCATATTTGATTTACAAAAAACGCTTCCCTTGCCGAAAATTTCTACAAGTAAAGTCTTCTATTTACGACATGTATGGCTCTACAATACAGGAATACATTTGATATCAACACAGTAGCCAAACGGTAAAGGTTTTTTCCACGTCTGGACTGAAGAACAAGGATATCGCGGTCTAGAAGAGATTTGCAGCACACTTATGGCCTTATTGGAAAATATCAAGGACCAAGGCATGGCTTCCGATAATCTGATAGCCTGGAGTAATTCGGCAAGTGGCTACAAATGAAATTTATATTGTCTCTCTATGGCACTACCTAATAGTCTCTGGATTGTTAAAAAAAATTGATCATAAGTGCCTGGAAGTACCTTCATGGACCCTGATAGAGATTTTTCAGCTGCAGACAAGTCTATCAGAAAGCACCAACTAATTTATATGGTGGATCAATATATTTCAATCATGGTAGAAGCCAGGAAAAAACAGGTTTTAATATTACAAGAATGGCGGAAAAATTTCTTGATATTAAAGAACTTCCAAGAAAACATGGACTGGTCGATAGAAGAAAAAAAAACTAATGAGAAATATTTTATTCAGAGATGTAAGATCCAGATCGAAGAATTTGGTATATTATGATATTATATACATACTTCGAAGTTGAGTCATTTATTTTAACAGTGAGTAGATCTGATCAAAAGAAATGTTTTTTTCCTTTAACATTTTTGTGGTAAAATTAAAGTAACAAAGTTATAGCCCTTTAGAAGTTTGAGTACCGCCCTGTCTCAATAATAATATTATGTGCTCGTGTTTGGCGACAACGGATATACTCCGCCTTATCGGTTCATCGCATCGGAAACAAAAAAGCGAAAGAATTTGAAACGCTGATCACGATGTTTTTATTCAGACCATGTGTCAGTCGGTAACGCGTGAGTGAATAGTGGTGTTTGCTGCGTGGCTCAAACGAAATAAAAAATGGCACATATTTATGCGGATCGGTTTCCCAATCGAGTGCAACCAACCCCTCGTGCCTTTGTTAATGTAGTACAACGGGCTCGTGAATCAGGTGACTTAAGACCTCACAGGGGACTGCATGCCGGTGCTCCAAGACCTCACGATCAAATACAGGTCCGCACTGAAATACTTGTCGGGAGGATACTTTATAAAACAAGGTAAAAAATTTTTTTTATTTTTTTTTATTTTTACACACATTTTGGTTTATCTTCCTTGTACAATCATTATCTGAAAATTAATGACTCAACTTCAAAGTCACCCTGTATAACCGAGTACAGAGACTCTTTTAGTGAAACGGAAAACTAGACTATAATTGATATAAGAAAACAAAAAAATCTCGATAGAAGAGTAGAAAATGGTACCATTATTATTGATTGTCGATAGAAGCCGACCTATTGACAAAAATTTTTATAATATTCAGGAACAAATTCCTTTAATACCAGCAAATTTTAGAGGCTTCTTTCACAATTTAAGGAGAGGAGACGATTAGTTACAGTGTGTGGATTATTTATTACGTTTGTTAGTTTGTAATAAGAAAAAAAACAGTGTTTTCTTTTAATAAATAACATCATTGAATTAACACATTTCTGCTATTTTCGTTTTCCGGACCAAGCAAATAACAGTTTTTGAAAAAGGTGCTAAGTCAGATTCTCAACAATCTCTTTCAAGTTTCTTATAACAAACACAATTTTTTTAATAAAACTATCTACTGGAGATATTTTTATATGTATCTGAAATAACTTTCAATAATAAAATCAGCCCTAACACTATTCAATAAAATATGACAGCACTTAAACTTTGAGGCCAATTATCTCCAAACTATAAAACCTTTTTGCACCAAATGCTTCAATTGTTGTATCAACTGCAGTTCTTCTGGAAGGTTTTCAACACTGCTACTCGAACTGAATCACTCTAAGGAAGAGATATACTCGATTAAGATTTTCTCTTTTTGAAGAATCAATGATTTAAAGCCTAGTTGCTTTGGTGAGGACAGTGCTTTGTGCCTTCAGTCTTGCAACTCGGCCTCTGGTTGTGGTATTCGCGCAAACCGTTAGTTTTATGGCACGTTTTTTTTTCCACCCATTCTTATTTGGAAAATTTTTACCCACCAACTTTTAGATTGTGACGTCACTGTTGTGTTCCATTTTGCAGAAAATTTACAAAAAGGTCACGTTCACAATTGATAGTAGTTGTAAAACGAGCATGGTATCACGTATCTTGAAAGGTGACATTATGCAGATTTCTTTTTGACATTATGCTGTTTTTTTGACATTATGTAGTTTTTTCTGCAAGAACTTAGAACTTAGTTGTACGTGTTCCTTAAACATCATGAGGCTTGTTATAAATCTTTGGTTCTGATGTGATGTAAAATCTGCTTCTGAGATGGCATTACTGGAGGTCTAAGCTGTAGGTTGTATGTGTTGATGATAATTACATTCCGTTTATGTCTCAAATACACTTAATTGAGATTCAAGGCTAGAAATTAACTGTGCATCCACTTATTCTTATCCATTCTGAAAATTACATAAAAACAAATTTGCTGAATTTAGAAAATGAGAAAGATAAGAAATAATTATATTCACTGCATACTGTCGAATTACAAGCTATATACAGTATATTCAGATAAGAGATAGACCGGATGTAAACAAAAGGTTCGGGTGATTTTCACGCTAACGCCGCCATCTCGACGTAAAACAGGAGCCCTCATTGGTCAATTCGCAATTAAATGCCTATGCCGAGCGGCAGAGCAGTCGTATCAAGGTAGAGTCACATTCAGGTTCAGACGTGTTACGTATGTCGTGTGCATCATTGCAATTTGATATTTCTTTGGACGTTTTCGTTTGTTATCTTATTAAGTTGTTGAGTTTGTCGTTGTTATTGTTATACCTTGTTATTGATTGTTATTGTTATCAACTGCTTGCGCAAAATGCCCAGTAGTACAGATACTGCCGATGAAGTTGTAAACTCCTGTAGTCCACCTAGGAAATGCTCTAAAAAAAGACACCTGAGTGCAGAAATGAAAGAGGTCATTTTGAATATACATAAGATCGAGCGCGAGGAGAACGAGGCATCAACCATCAAAGAAATTGTTGTGAAGGTTTCTCACAAAGTTGGGGTGTTTCGCGCATCAGTGTTTAATGTGTTAAGACAATACAAAAAAAATCACACCTTTTCTGAGCCAATGACCAGTAAACATCGCAAAAGTATTGTTAAATCATTGGATGAAGCTGATAAGCATGCGATTAGGAGGAAAGTGCATGAATTCTTCTTTAGGAATGAAATACCTACTATAGATAAAGTACTGCAGGACGTAAATGGAGATACAACGTTGCCAAATTTCAAATGATCAACTTTCCATGCGTTACTGAAGCATTTAAATTTCAAATGGAAAAAACGGGGTCGTAATAGTTTACTACTGGATAGAGAAGAAATTGTGCTATGGAGGAGGGATTATTTAAAAAAAATTGGGAAATATAGAAATCAAAACAGGGAGATTTATTACCTTGATGAAACGTGGGTAAACGCAGGACACACTACAAGTAAAGTATGAGTTGATGATTCTGTAACTTCATCCAGGAGGACCTTTCTAGATGGATTGTCTACCGGATTAAAAAATCCATCAGGTAAATACGAGTAATAGACAACAATCGAATGTTTTTCAAACCTTGGGAACAAGGTTCTAAACATTAATTCCAGGAGGCAGATAAAACATATTACAAGTAACAAAACTTTTATAACTTTCGATAAAATGCGTGGATGTTTTATTGTCATTTTCATTTGTTAGAACTTTTTTAAGCCATGTTTTTATGTGTTTTCGATATTTCAATAATTTTTTAATATAATCTTAAAATATGTCGAATATTATAATCTTAAAAAAAGTTACTAAGTTTTATATTGTGTACCGTTCCTAATATTTCTAATCATTTTAATTCTTACTTTAAGCTTTATAAAGTTATAATTTGTTAATATTAATATTTGCGCGTATTTCAGGTTCCTGATCATTCATTTTTTAAAGGTTTATAACTTTAAATTAAATTGTGAAGCGCTGAGTAATCATACGACGTTCAATATTCTTTCTTTCAATATGACTAAATAATCAGAATTATAGCAATCTGATACTCATGTCTCAATGTTTTTTCGTTGAATGTGATGAAAACATTTGAAAAAGGTTCGCTTATTGAAATAAATCTACACCAGTTAGTACTTCGATTCCCACGTAAAGGGAAAATGCTCATTATCTGCAATATTGGCAGTGAGGATGGATTTGTTGTTGACGGTCTGTGGTGTTTTGAGTCTAAGAAAACTGGTGATTACCACAAGGAAATGAATGGCGAATCGTTTGAACAGTGGTTTTCAAAAATTTTACGGAACTTAGAGGAAAACGCAGTAATTGTGTTGGATAATGCGCCTTATCATTCTCGAAGAATGGAGAAGTTCCCAACAACGGCTTCAAGGAAAGTTGATGTTCAAAATTGGCTCCGCTCGAAAAATATCAACTTTGAAGAAGCAATGCTGAAAGTACAATTATTAAGAATTGTCAAGGATCACAAGGCGGAATATCAAAAATACGCCATTGACGAAATGGCAGCAAGTCAAAATAAAACTGTGCTCCGTTTACCTCCATACCATTGCGAGCTCAATCCCATTGAGCTCATATGGGCAGAGGTTAAAAATTATATAGCTAAGCACAATACAACTTTTAAATTTTGTGACCTCAAAGGACTTTTCAAAGAAGCACTAGAATTAATAACAGTGCAAAAATGGGAAAACTGTATTAAGCACGTGAAAGACAAAGTTGAAAAGAGAATGTGGGAACTCGACAATATTTTAGAGGAACAAGTCGAGCCATTCATAATTGACGTTGGTGCTTCAGGCAGTAGCGATGATGAAAGCTCATCAAGCTCATCTTTCCAATAAAAGATGTCGTTCATCAAATTCGGTAAGTTATAAGTAATTATAAAGCTACTGTATTTTTTAATTAATTATTGACATTTTTGAACCCATTTTGGCAAAACCTATTCAAGAATCTACTTTCTGACAATGTTCAACCATGCACATTTTTTTAGGTTTTGTACGTTTTAATTTGGTTACATATTTACCTAGAAATCAAAAAATATACTAATCAATATTCAAAAAGCAATTTTAAGAGATATACGATTATTTTTAATTTAGGCTAATTTAAACGCATTTTTGAGATTGTCTTCGACTGTATTTCACCAAACATCAGGCGGCATCCGAAGCTGGAAATCGAAGCGAAAATTTTGAAACCCTTATGTATATTTACATCATTATATATTTCTTACTCCACCCCCACATGATCCTATATCCATCACCAATCGTGTATACATCGAATTGTGCTAATTTACTACAAAGTTACGCAAAGTAGCATCTACTATCTAAAATATGTACTGCGTGACTCTTATTCGATGATCACGTGGTCTTGTTTATGTCCGGTCTATCTCTTATCTGAATATACTGTACATGCTAACAGTAATTAGACACAACCCGGGCGCGGTGATGAATTAAAGTAACTCTCCTCAGTTTTTCGTTATTTATAACTTTGAACATAACCTCTCTTCAGGAAGCACACCATAAAAATAACCCGTCGGGCACAGCCAGTAGATATACTTCATTCAGTAATGATTTTCTCACCCAACAGATATCACTGATTTTATACACATGCAGACCAATACACATAATAATCCAAGTGCAATCTTGCTATTCACCCAACTTCCTTCTCGGAGATAAAAACCACAGACATGGACCATCTGTCCTCACAAAACATATGCAACCAATAATGCGTGAAGCGTGGAATGACTGTTTGCGCCCTAAAAACTACCTAGTTTGCAAGATGACATCTTATAGGTTTTTTTTGACGTTTTATAGGTTTTTTCCATGACACCCGTGCAGGTCAGTTAGTGCATTCGAGGTACCAGTAACCGAAACAAAATAACCAATTTCAGATATTATGCTTCTACTCGATTTTCAGACAATTAGTATTCTGTAACATGGGTGCCGGAAACTACACATGTGCTTTGATGGCAGGTAAATTACCCCCTCCACCTCCACCATCCATGCCGCCGAAAAAGACGACCAACACGAAGAGGGAAAAATTGACTAGAGGTGAAAAAAGAAAGGCAGCGCAAAAGCAGAAAGGATAATCAACATACTTTTTCATTATGTATTTCTAAATGAGTAATAAAATTTATCATGACAGGTCTTTTGCAAAATTACGAGATGTCCCTCTGATTTGTTTGTAAAGTATTGCTGCAGCCTTCCAGGGTGGGTGGTAGGGAAACTTCGCGAAATGAAATGTCATGCTTTTATCAAAAACTCCCTACACGTGAAAATATTTTCCGGATATCCACTACCGCAAGCAGTAAAACTTTTATGACCATTTTATATAGTACGGTTACACTGATGTCAACACACTTAAGATCATACGCCAAGTATTCGTGGTGACATACTGTATACACTTTTATAATTGCCTTTGCAATGGAGCAAGCTATGCTGTTACCGAACTTTAAAATTTGGAACCGCAATACTTAGTTATATCGTCACTTTCGCTCTCACACATAACTTCACATGGACAAGGAAGGGGAAGTAGGGCGCTTTTATAAGCCAGTAAAGTTTTATTAACACGTACTCGCTTTATGTTAACTATCATTTGATTGCCACCATATTACGTGACGATGTTGTTGGATTCTCATGTTACATATACACCTTAGGAGAAACCATTGTTATACATGGGAAGTCATTTCTTGGCAACAGCGCATCGGCTCGTCTACTTTCATCGCTATTCGTACATATTTACTACCGTTAACGCGCGTGCCGTCGTCAAGTGCGATAAGGGATTCATGACTCACTCTGCGGTTGGGTTTTGTGTATGAAAGGTGCGTATTTATTTAATCCAAAATATCTTAAAAATGTACTCGCAAGAAGAAAAGTTTCAAATGATAGAATGGTACATCCAGAATAATTCAGCACGCGCGGTTGTTGAATTATTTGCGGTACCTACGCTTCCCAGATCGGCCAATTCCGTCTCACGCAACGGTTATAAATACCTACGAAAAATTCAAGAGGGTGGGCTGCTGACATAAGTGAAATAGCTGCATGCACCCTGAAGGTTGGAAACCAAAAATTAGCGAGAAAAGGGAGGAGATCGAAACTGCTGTTTGAGCCGCTGCAGAAGTATCTGAGCCATGCTCAAGCAGAAAAATTGCTGAAATGGTACCAATAGCCGATCTCACACCCAGAACAACAAGAAATATGTATTTTGCATCGCAACGGCTATCATAGCTTCAAGGTTGGAACGGTTCATGAAATATTTCCTTTAGACAAATACCGTCGAATGGAGTTTTGTGAAACGGTCATGGAGAAGGCGAACAGGGATGGAAGTTTTATTGGTAACATTTTGTTTACTCATGAATCCACATTCCCTCTCCACGGTCATCACAATCCTTCAGTCATTCGGTATTGGTCTCGTGAAAATAAACACCTCAGTATTCCCGTCCGCACGCAGTATCCACAGAAACTGAATGTGTGGGCAGGATTTCTAGGTAATAACATTATCGGACCGTTCTTTATTGATGGAACTCTTACGGCTACAAAATATTTGGCGTTACTACAGACGCAGATTGTTCCTGCAATTAGGCAGCTTGGCATTGATCTCACTAATATTTGGTTCCAACAAGATGGATGCCCGGCGCATAATACGGCGATCGTACACACTTACCTTGAAAATGTGTTCGGCCACCGGATTATTGGCGGTAACGGAACAATAAAATGGCCTCCTAGATCACCTGATCTAGCGTCCAATGATTTTTTCTTGTGGGGTTAAGTGAAAAGTACTGTTTACACTTTCAATGAGAGAGCAGACAATTTGCATAACCTACAGGTGAATATTGTTGAAGCGCTCGGGCAAATACAGCCTTCTACCCTCTTGAGAGTTCGTCAGGAGTTTTATAACCGCCTGACATACTGTTCATTGAATGAAGGAGACGTTTTTGAGCCCCAGCTGTGAAGGACCATTTGAAACATTTGTGTTCATTATTGCGTTTTATTTTTGAGAACTTATTTTTTTGTTAGAATATCTCTTTATTTTCGTTACACATTTTTAAGAGTGTACTATTTTTTGTTAGAGTGGGTATCTTCTTATTTTTGTTATGAGACGCAACCTTTATTGCTACAAAACCAATTATCCATTCATAAAAATAAGTAGAGTGATTTAGGTGATTTCGTGAAATCTCGAAATCACCGAAATCGGTTCACAGGACGTCCAATCGAACTAGTGCGTAATGCGCGCATCTACTGTACTTCTTCTGTCGACTCAACGCATACTGAAATTTGCAGCAGACCGCAGACCTGTATCACGAATGAGAATAATAGGCAGGTACGCTGTGTTGCCAATTTGAGTAGAGCTTCCCGAATTGTGGGGAATTTAGAGTTAAGTGTTGATTCATTCAAGCTTTCAATCAGCATGGCCTAGACGTTAGAACTTCATAAAGATAACATTGAAGCTGTATGCTGCTGGAGTATAGTGTTTCGAATATTCAAAGCGGAGCGGGACACTATACTCGTTCAATGGGTCATCGAGCCACAGTCTTTTCAACAAAGAAATTATTTTACGAAAATGCGTTATATTTTTACGATTTTGTCGTCACCAAATCTGTTTCTCAAAATGTACGTCTATTGTAGAATTTTCAGCAAACTAAGCAAGAAACGTGATCTAGTATTTACTCAACATTACGGATTTCTCGAAATACATTAAAAAATGTGACCTAGATACCTAACTGCCCCAAGCTCTTTAAATATAACACCTTAAACCAGGGTTACCAGGTGCTCAGTCACGTTGATTGTCATGTTGTACTGCGCAAGTCAGCACACAATATGGCATAATAAACGTTAGGAATTATCAGGTATTGCCAGATTCCCGAATACCGGGCACCATAGTACCCGTTATAGTTGTCCTTCAAAGTTGTCAAATCGCCCCTATGGCGTAAATTGGCCACTCCAGTCAACTGTGCTATAAACAAACCCTGTTTATCACTACTATTTGATAGTCATATGGTAGTTGTAGCCCTATCTAGCGGTCCATGATTTCTCTCAATACTGTTGTATCTCTACTGGCAACAAGAATAGGGATCACAAAATCATTTATACAATATACAAACATGAAAAATATGATTTGAACCATGAAACATTAATACAATTTTAACAGTTTGAACTTTTTTCATTTTTGGAATACTCTTATGTGGAATCCGCAGCTATTTTTCCCGAAATTTGGGTAGACTTAGATTTCTTAGAAATATGACATATTGGTATCGGCAACTCTGCGAATGGGAGAAACAAATCGCATTTGTTGAGCGCATCCGTCTAAGCGGCAGGCGCTAGCGCCCGTTCTGCCATTTCTCTTTTATCACTCTTCTACTTTACCCCGTTGTCCGTCACACTCCGACGCTGCCAGATAGGATCCTACAATCGAGTGTCTTTCACGCACCTACATACTTTTGTACATTTCCATCTCTCTTCCTCATCATAATGTATAATAATGGTTTTTCCGAAGGAGAAGCTGTGAAGAAATAAAAGCTGCTCTCAATGATAAACAACTCTTTAATTAAAAGGCCAATTTCTGCAACGGATATTCATTCTTTATTAAGTCGGTAAGCGTAAAGTACTCATTTGATGACGCACTAAAAATATAGAGAACGGTAAAAGTCCAGTTTGCGTTGCCCTTCAAAGTCAGAAACGAGGTTAGGGACAAACTTAACGTCACGTTACCAAGATTCTACAGTTTGAGTTATTTTACACCTTAGCTATGAATCTAGTTTTCGTAAAATATATAATACCCCAATAGATAGATACTTTATTGTATTTGGATCATAACTTTGATATAAGACTCGTCAGACACATCTTTATAAGTACATTATTATCAACAAAATTTAAAAATATATATTTAAGTATAAATACATATATTTGTCGAAAAAGCAGCGGTTAAAATGGAAGGAATCACAGTTAGTGGAAAAAGGGCGCATGACGCACGCACGAACTTACACTAAATGGGCAAACAAAAAATAAACCGAACAAGGTGTATAAGGGGCAAGTAGAAAAAAAATAGAAATAACAAAAGGTACGCTTATATAAGTATCAGAACGCTAAATATATATATATATATATATATATATATATATACAGCCTTAGTTTAACATTTAATTTTAGGTGCATCACTCTTACCCTGAAAGAAACTCAGCTACTGAGTATGTTAGTAGCATTTTCAGATTCTTCAGCTCTTTGTTGAACCTATTTGGGCATGTAATATCTTTTAGTATTGATGGCAACTTATTGAATACCTTAATGCAGGCGTAAACCCATATTTCAAATGCAGTCAAGGTTCTTTATAATCGTAGTTAGAAAATTGAATCTTCGGGAATACAATTTCGAAAGACGTAAAGTGTTTCCAGCCAAGTCGGCTATGTCGCCATCAGCAGAAACTTGCTACCATGCTTCGGCGTTTATTTTACGCCTCACCCAGGAATCCCTTGATTCACATATGAAAAACAAAAAAAATTAGTATGGAAAAAGCAGAGTTGCCAGCGTTTGATGAATGCTGCCTCAAGCAACTCATGCTCATTAAAAATTCACAAATCCATTCTTCCGGAAAACAACTAGCTATCTCCTGCTTGTCGATATTACCGTTTACATTCCATGTGATCTTTCGGCTGTGTTATAATCGTGGAAATATACTGCGTACATTTATCTTAGGGATTTCCTTAATACATTTTCTCAATATGTGGTTACGCAACCGCATCGTTTGACAACGCTAATGTGGCGGATCTGGTTCTTCATACTACTAATACATACTAAAGGCTGCTATATGAAAAAAATCAGTATCTCTAGCTCAATACTCAAGTCGTGTGGGCAAAGTAGAGGAGTAAATCATTGAAATAAACTTTTCGTGCTTTTTCCAAATATTTAAAAGACAATCAGAAACTTGTGAATTTTCTTGACCAACATTTTTTTCTATTGGTATCACAATGAATTAGACAATATTAGATGAGTGCATGTATCAAGGCTTAAAAGTGTAAACAGTGTGGTTGAAAAGCTGTGAGTGATTCCCCATTTTTGTTTGAACAATAAAAACCATACGTATTAACTGTAGTCAAAATTTCAATCACATCAAGATCTGTCAATACATGTCTTCTTTATTGGCCAGAAAAGCATGGAGTATTAA